TTCAAATAAACGAAGCAAAGGCAGCGAGTGTACCTGCAGATTCTCATGCAGTATCATGTCCGGTGAGAAAGAATGATGAAATATTCCGTATCGCGAAGCCGTGGGATCGCTCATGTTTGTCGCGATAGTTTCGAGACCCGATATCGCCTTTGCGGTAAATACAGCAAGTAAATTCTTCAATACTCGTACTCTATCTCACTGGCGAGCTGTGAAAAAGATCTTTGCGTATCTAGTCGATACTGTAAACGTTGGAATAGAATATCAAATACCGAATACCGAAGCGGCGGAAGCGATTCGAAGCTGGTAGGGTTCTCCGACGCGGATTACGCAGGTGACCTAGAGACTCAAAGGTCAACCACAGGCTATGTTTATAGCCTCGCCAATGGGCCAGTGACATGGTCTTTACGTCGCCAAAAGAGCACAACGGAAGCAGAGTACGTTGCCGCATCGCCGACATTTGTTGTGCGAGATCGGACATTGCGAGAACGACTACATTGTATGTCGATAATCAAAGTGCTATTAAATTTGCTAAAAATCGCGAGTTCCACAAAAAGACTAGGCATATACATGTCCGATGTCACCACATTCGCGAGATGATTGAGAACGGAGAGATCAAAGTCGTGCATGTTCCGTCTAAAATGCAAAAGGCGGACATATTGACTAAGCCGTTACCGAAGTCAAGGTTCCGACGCTTACGCTCGAGTATGGGGGTGCGTGAGAGCGTAGATGAAAGCACTTGGACGGCAAAAGTAAAGTTTGTCTAGCATGCTTGAATGAGCGACGCTGCATGCGCGCGCATCCGACTTTTATGAGGATCCGTCTTGCCTTCCGCGAGCTTCCAAACTTTCGACTTTCGACCTCACCGCAGCGCCTCAGTCTTGCTTCGACCGCGTGATGCGAGTTGGTCACACGGATCAATCTTTTATCAATATATAAAAGTTTTCCGTTTATTGTACACGACGTGTCTATTTATCGAAAAAGTACCCTTCTCCCCTTCTCTCGATCTAGCAAGCTGCTCAACGATCGACTGATGCAACAAGTTGTACATGTATATATATATATATATATATATATATATATATATATATACACACACATGTTGTAGGCAAATGGTTGATGTGGAAAAAGAGCTTTAGACTAGGCAAATGCCATCTGCCTGGTCAAATGGCTTCTGCCCGTAAATTTGTGTTCAAATGCAAATCGCATTTTCCTAGGCAAATAGCATTTGCCTGATTGCTTTTTAGGAAAATGGAAATAAATTCTAGTTAATTATTCAGAATAGGGCCTTTCAAATTTTGATATTTTTTGCGACTCTCTTGGTAAAAATCAATGTAAAAATTTTTCCAACAATTGGATTGGATTAGGTTGGGTTTTGGGTGTATTTCCGAATGACCCTTGCTCCCGATCGACCTAAAGTTTTACACTCTAGTTGTTTTTGATGTGAGCAAAAGTGCGCGTGGTCCCAACTTTGGGAAATTATCCCTCCCTCTGCGGAGGGCGAAACCTACTGCTTCCACGCATACACTTTCCACGCAAGACGATGAGTTACCACATGGGTTTACAACTTTTCACGCGTGCATAGAAAGTTGACCCATGTACTTGCAAGTGTTGTGGATTATGTAGCAAAAATCAGATGGACAGGTTTCACGTATATTTATTTAAAAAAGACCGTTTCTCAAGTGGCATAGAATCTTATTACACGTATATATCCTTACTCGTATTGTCTTTGATATATATGAAAATTTTAGTCCTTGTTACGTGACAGCAGGACAATAGCTAGCTAACCAAGAAGGTTGACTCTAGTTGGTAAACTAAACCTACAATGTCGCAGTCTATTGAAACGCACGTGCTCCAAAGGCTTTGTCAGGATATCAGCAAGCACATGCTGGAGGTTAATGGTATCCTCCAAATATCTTTCTCAAACATAAAAGTGGCGTACTTTTATGTGCTTACTTTGCTTATGGAATTCGGGGTTCTTTGTGAGTTTAACAGCACTGGCGCCATCAACAAACAAGGTCGGCAAGCAACTTTCACCGAGCACGTCATGTAACAAGTGTTTCAACCAAACAGCTTCCTTTGCTGTTTCACCATGTTGCCATAATCTCTGCTTCGGTTGTAGAGAGAGCCACCAAACTTTGCAGTTTACTTCCATGAAACTGCGCCTCCTGCATACAATGCAACAACTCTACTAGTTGAACGTCGCGTTTTGACATCACCAGCAAAAGTCACCATCACTATATACTTTCAGACTTTCTTGACCTTTTTAGGTGATACCGTGGCTTGTAGTTTTCTCCAGTATTTGAACATTTTCTTCACATCATTCCAATCGCTTCTGGTTAGCTGATAAAGAGCACGACAAGCTGCTTTGCCTACAGCAAATGCAATGTCGGGACGTGTGGCTGTCATCATGTACATCAGACTTTCCACAGCTTCTTGATAGGAAACATGATTGTCGAAATTCTCAGTTGATGCAGTTTCTTCACAAACAACAAGATGAGTGTATACAGAATTGCATTCATCCATTCGGAATTTTTCCAAAATTTTCCTTACATATGTAGCTTCGCTGGGAGATGTTGATTGATTTTCTGACGAGCAATATTCAGTTTGAGAAAGATTTCTAGATTGTTTATTGTAATCTTGAATTCTTGCTAAAGTTCAAGAAATGACTAAACTTTGGAATTACTGCTTCCGACAATCATACCATCATCCACGTATATTGCAACGTAAAACAAGTTTCCGTTGCGCTCACGATAAAACAAACATGGATCTGCATCACAATTTTTAATTTATGCCAGCCTTCTTTATAAATTTGACAAAGCGTTTATTCCAGCAACGTGGAGCCTGCTTCAATCCATATAGGCTCCTTTTCAGCAGACACACACACGTCTTGTTTTATCTTTGAAGCCTTCTGGCTGTTTTAGACGACTTTTTCCTCAAGTGAACCGTACAGGAAAGCCGTCTTTACGTAAAATTGCTTCAGACTCTTATTCTTTGCAGCAGCAACCGCAACAAGAGTTTTTACCGTGTCATATCTGGCTACTGGACTAAAATTTTTGTCGTAATCGATTTCTGATTTCTAAACATATTCTTTTGCGACCAGACGAGCTTTATAGCGATCATTTCCATTATTTTCTTCCTTGACGCAAAAAACTCTGCGATTCAAGTACTTTTGCATCAACAGGCTTTTTCACGAGAACCCAGGTTTTGTTTTCAGCCTACAAGTCCAATTCGTTCTTCATAGCTGCTAGCCAAGACTTTTGACTTTCGACTCAATTGCTTCGTGGCACAATCTTGGAAGGCTTGTATTTTGCGCAAGAGATACATTCTCCGCTCGTCATCCATCCTGGTCTCTTTCTTGTACGCTTGCTACTGGAACAAGAGGATTCATCTTTTAATTCTTTGCTGAATACAGAGGCATCCTCGTCAGATATTTCTTCCGTGTCTCCGGTGTTTTCTATTTCGCTCTGCATTTCAGTTTGACTCAAAGAGTGCTTATACTTTAACCACATCATTGCTCTTGTTGCAAACGACTTTTGGTTTAAAACAAACGTCATGCGTGCATATAATTTTATTCTGTGAAGGAATCCAGATTCGATATCCATCTCGTTCATTAACGTAACCGACTACATGTTCTTTTAGTGTCAAACTTGGATCGAAACTGTTTCTGGACGTATACGTAGCATTCTGTACCAAAAATTTTCAAGTGTTAAGTCAAGTTCTTTTCCAAAGTACAATTTGTACGGCGATTTTTTATTAATTCTAGTTTTTCCAGTATGATTTAATATATAGGTAGCTGTATTGCATGCCTCTGCCCACAAAAATCTCAAACTTGATTGGATTTAACATGGAACACGCTGCCTCGACGATAGTGCGATTCTCGCGCTCTGCCGATCCATTTTGCTGCGGCGTATACGCTGCAGGGGTTACAAATTGTTCAATTCCATTTTTGCTGAGCAGAGTAGAGACATTTTTATTGTCAAACTCCTTTCCACCGTCGCATCGGAGCCGTTTCACAACATGACCATTGGTTTTAGCTTCATTCGCAAAAACTGTTTTAATACTCTGCATACTTTACACTCTTTCTTTGTTATAAGGAGAAAATTTGCCGAAACTTGCTAAAGTCATTCTTGAAGCAGACAAAATATCTTGATCTGCCCAAGGAAGCAGTTGACATGGGCCCGTTTACATCTGCGTGAATCAATTCGCCGACATTTTCCGACTGATTTGGACAATTTCCAAACGGCAGACGATGCATCTGTCCCAATGCGCAACCATCACAAAAACTTTTGTCCGTACTAGTCACATTAATGTTTATGCGCTAAAAGACTTTTTTGACATGGCGTGTGTTTTGATGGGCTAACTTAACCGTTCGTTCGTGGAATACTTGCAACATGTCGGTACTACTTGCAAAGTTGACTTGTTCTTTGGAATTTGTAACCTTCAAGTTTAATACACAACTTTTCAAGTACTTGCAAATCGTCGCGTAAAAGAGTCACAGTGTCGAATCCTTCCATCGAAAGGTGACCCGTGGCGCGAATGCCTTGATCGTTTACAGATGAGCGTATACAAACTTGCTTCTTATCAAGTGTCACACTTTAAACGGCTTTCAACAGCCGTTTTTACCGAAAATAGATTTGCGCTGGCGTCCGGAACGTGCCATACATTTTTATACCAACAAGTCTTTATGTATATACATATTTTATTTTTTATGATGATACTCAAAAATGGAAATGGAAAAAAAAGTTATTAAATGTGTATCGTATGAAAGTTGTGTCTGATTACTATATTTATTCTTTAAAATTTTATTTCTTTCAGATTACTTTTTTTTTACGATTCATGTCTGTACAACTTTGTAATTTTTATAGTTTTTAAGTGAAAGAATAGATAAAATCTAAAGTTTCTTTATTACTGGGTTTTTATATAATAGCTCGATAATATTACCATAGAAATACATTTAATTTTTATCCGTTAAAAATTTTAATTGATCAACATTGTTTCAGGAACAGAGAGGAGAGGCCATCCAGAATGGTTCTTACTGTGACCGAGGATACCCCGGCAGATATGCTGACCGGAAGTATGGAACTTTTAGTCCAGCTACCTCGCAATCATCATCTTCATACGCAGAAAGTTACAGTATTGAGAAGGTACATTTGCAAGAACAATAAAATTAATCAAAAAGCAATAGATTTCTTATCAAGTACTTGAAGATGTTTGGGTTGTACAATACCAGCAAAAAGTGATTAAAATTTGAAAACTGCAGATTTCTTAGATTTATATCGTACGTTTAAAATATATAAAATAAATATTACAAAAGTTTAAACTATCGTAAAATAACATGATTTTTAACGTCTTCAAGAAAGGAAATATTTATAATTGATATTTTTCGTAATCAACGACAGAAACTTTTGGTCTTGAAAATGCCCTAAAATCAACTGCAAAAAATGAAAAAACCATCAATTTATAAGACGATTTTCGGTTATAAATAATTTAAATATATATTTAATATAAAAGTAAAAGTTATATATATTTAATTAATAATTTTAAAACAAAATGTAAACATAAAATATACCATTTAATGCCACCTTAAAATATGGCAACACTGCATTATTTTTTACGTTGGCCGTACTGCCTGTCACCTTTCTAGCGCGGAATCAAAATGCCGAAAAATGTTGGATATCGTAAAAAATTTCGATAAAATTTCGATATTGACTCAAAGTGTTTACACTGCAATGTTGCGCCAAATCTCATAGACTAAAATGGGTTATGCAGCGTATACTGACCACATTTTGCTACAGTTTTAAGTAAATAATTTTTAAACGAAAAAGTGGATCCAACGGAACTTTTGTACGAATATTTATCATAGTTTCCGTAGTTCATGTACAAAATTTGATTTAATTCGTAATGCTACTTGCTCATCAAATTCTAAGAATAAGAAGAAATTTCATACGTCAACAAACTTTTGATTAAATCATCTCAGAAACTAAAGCCGTAATAAAAAATTTAACGACATTTTTTAAATATAATGTCGATACAAGCTTTCGCGTGCGACTAGTCCGATCAAGATTGATGCAGCCAATCTCGAGATGTGATAAAAATTAATGCAAACAAAAAAATTAATCAACTTTTAAACCAGTAAGAAAATTGTGCTGAAATTTTACACAGATACTTGGACGTAATAATATAACAATCTATGAAATTTTTAGATTTTTGGTAATGCTTTGAGATGTCACCCGCATACATCCTTAAAACTTTTATTAATCCGATTCGTCTTGGTCTATCCAAAGTTATATTTGATGGATAGAGTATCATTTTAAAGAAAGATTGTTATTGAATTTGACGAGGATCAGTGAAGGGCCGATTACCGATTTCTGTTTAAAAAATGTTCAAGATGTACATGTAATTTTATATAGAGTATCATTAAAAGAAGGTTGTTTTGAATATTGCAAGAATTGGTGAAAGAGTTACCGATTTCTGCTTAAAAAATGTGCAAGTTATTTGATGGATAGAGCATCATTTAAAAAAGGTATTGAATTTGGTGAGGATTGGTAAAGGAGTTACCGATTTTTGCTTAAAAAGTTACATGTATAAGTTATACATGTAATTTTATATAGATCATCATTAAAAGAAGGTTGGTATTGAATTTGGCGATAATCGGTAAAAAGATTCCTTCTTAATAAAATTTTGAATTTTTTGAGAAATGTTTGTGGTTGCTCCAACTTTCGCCAATTTTGAGATATCAGACTATTTATAATTCTATTATGTTCTTCAGTGTTTTCTACCTCTATTTCATATATAATGCTTTACAATTGAGTTGATTTATAGATCCAGCTTTGTACGCGATCAAAAATCCAAATAAGTCCATATATGGACCATGTAGCCTAAACTCCACAAGTCAACATTGATTTCACATTCGTCAATAGTAAAACCTCACTTGTGCTACCAACAATAAGCTGACCGTTTTTTGATTTATAAAAAGGTTAAATTTAAAATTTAAAAAAGTGTGCAAATTAGAAACTTGCACATTTGCTTGCTTATTATTACAGATTGCTACCATTGCTCCCATTTTATTTTGCTCATAAAGCTTTCTCTATGAGGAAGCACAACTAATAAATACTAATAATTATGCATCAAATAAAATACAAGATTTTTTGAAGAAAGTGAGTGCCACTTGCAATTTTAAAAGTATCGTAAAATCTAAATTAAATTAAAAAAAACAGTAAAATTAAATCAAAAAGAAAAATAAAAAATCAAACTCATTGCAACTCAAGTGTAAAAATATTTCGACGTTTTAAAACACTCTAAACATATTGACATTAAAAACTCAAAAAACAATCTTTTCTTTGGTTTCTTCTACCCCTATCTTGTATATAATTTTTTTAAATTTGGTTGATTAGAGCCAACTTTATACGCAATCAAAGGTTCATATACGAATTTACGAAAACAAAGCTTCCTCTATGAGAAAGCAAAAGAGATGATTTTAATTTTTTGTAGTTTTAACCATGTTGTACCGCTACGATCATCTCGAGTAAAATATATATTATACATGATCAAGTAGTGATGTTGTATATAAATTATGATATAGTGGTATCTCTCTCTACCGGGTGTTGAAAAAAATTGTTTTAAAAAATAAAATATTTTTTTAGACACTCTATAGATGTCGGAATCAAATTAAACGATACTCGTTTAAACCCTCCCAAGGTATCCTACTACCCATATTTTTCCCTAAGGTCCTAGCTTTTCCCGTTCCGGAGAAAAAAAACTTTCATTTTTTAATTTGACGTCATAACTGCGGAATCACATTGTTCTAGAAGCTAGTATGAACGGTAATTTAGTGTTGGGTCATAAGGTACTTTGTGTGTGAAAATCAGCCCGATATCGCCGGGGGCATCCCGCCATAGGAAAACTGGCCAGACTTTTTGCCATAATTTTTGCAATCAAGTATAACTAAAAGAAATGAGGGTGACCTGAGTGAATCACATGTGTCAGATTATTCAAGAGTCTGACAATGAGCTGAATCACCTCCAGTTAAAAAACTGGAGAATTATAGGGTGTTGTACAGTGTTATTAATACTTGTAATTAACATATAATCAGTACCTAATTTGTTGCAATTTAAAAAATATTTTAGAGAGTAGTAAACTGGATTACACAAGTACTTTGTTTTATAAGAATATTTTATTATTAATAAGAAGCACTAATAATGTTTAGTACAACAAAGTTTATTAATTTTTTCAGTCTTTGACATTCGAATTCATTCGAAAGTGCTTGTAATCCAATACTGCTCTAGTACTTGGATAGCGATAATTTCATAAAAGATGCATATATATATATATATATATATATATATATATATATATATACACACACATACACACACACGTGCGCGCGCGCGCGTGTACACGAGAAAAGAGGAGAGAGGGAAAAAGGGACAGAATAGGATGGTATTCTAAAGACTATTTGGGGGTGACGGCTGGTCTAGTGGGTAGAGCGCCAGATTCGTAATGCGGAGAACCGGGTTCGAATCCCGCTAGGCCACTGAGAAATTTCTCAGCAAAAACGCTGCCCCCTCCCCCATCTAGCGGAGAGAGGTAACCCTAGATGGAAAAACTGAGCTCCGTCTTTCGGAAAGAGACGTTAAACCATTGGTCCAAAGGTGAGAGGAGAAGGGTAGTAATGGATGAGTTGTACAGGGTTGGGTACGTTCCTTTAAAACGCCCTTTAAGACCTCTTGAAATAAGTAAAGTATATGTCTTTATCTTAAAGACTATTTTACCTCTTCCACCAAAACTCCCCAAAAAAATTCTTTTTTATTTTTTGGGTGGACTAGACATCACAGGCACGCGCTACGCGCGCGCGCTATTTAACTTTAATATTTCATTGTTACTGTTACACCCTATTAACTACACAACTGTCAAAATATGCCATATGACGACAGCCGTTCGTAAAGTAAGTGCAAAGAGAGAATCATCAATCGGCATCGCGAAAAAGCGACAACAATACTTGATAGATTCAAGTATCGATGACTTGCCCTTTTTAAAAGAGAATTTCAGAGAGCTGTAACTTTTGAAATATTGGTCGTAGCTCGTCGAGTCATAATAGTCCTTGATAAAACTTTTTGGGGGGCTACTAAAACTCTTGCCAGAACTGTGGATTTTTGAAAATTAGTGCAACTTTTAAATTATGGATTCTATTTTATCATCAATTTTTGGGGTTGATTGTACGGAACTCTTACTAAAACCTATAGGAAACTTTAACAACTCATCAAAATCTTTCCAAATCTACAGTAAAAAGTTTATATTTTCAAAAATAGAGGGCGCCGTAAAGTTAGCCCCCCTCCATTTTTAAAATGGTGTATTCGTCATTTTAAATGACTGAAACTCTTGCTGAAGCATCCAGAACTCTAATAAATTTTTCGAATTTTGAAAAAGGAGAGCCAACTTTACAGACGTTATTCATTTAAATAATCTTGATTTTGAGATACACAAAAATTAAAGCAACACTAAATTTCTTTTCAAACATTGGCAAAATTCAAGCAGCTGTAACTTTGTGAAAAATCAACAAAATTTAAGTTTAAAAAAAGAATTTTACAGCTTGAAATCTCTACTTTCAATAAATCACTATTAGTTTTTGTGAGTTTGGTAATTTTTACATATAGAAAACTATAAACTGGACAAAATCGAAAATTTGCTTCTCACTTTGTCGGCCTGTTACGTATAAAAAAAAATGTACGAAAATTTTCAACTCTTTAACGTAAAGGCTTGAAGCTTTTTCTACAAAATATTTTTCTATGTTTCTACGATTTTTTGCTACTTGGTTATCGTGAATTGAATAAAAAATGAGCATTTTGACTTTAATTGCTCATAACTCTGTTAAAAATCATTGTACCACAATTCAAAAAACAGATTCTTAAAGCTGAAACTCTGCTCTATCGAATGGTATAATTGCCAAATTTTTTAAAATAACGTATAGACATGATACAAGTGGATGAAAATAATGTAAAAATTTCCTTTTTTCATTTTCTCAATTTCATTTTTTCTTTTTCTATTTTGACCCGAAAAACAATTGTGTACAACAACAAAAATTTATTGTTTACGTTTTTTTACTTTTAAGGGGGATAGTAAGGTTTGAAATTTTGAAAAATTCAAT